AGGAAAATAGAGCAAGCAGACCCGATTATACATCTAAAGAGAATTCCAGAAGGAGAAAATGAATGGGGAAGACACAATATTCTAAGAGACGATAGCAAATAATTTTCCAGAATTCAGGAGAGCACCAATCCTCAGATTCAAGAATCTAAACCAGCATAAAGTACAAGAAATCCATACCCAGATAAATCATGTGAAACTGTTGTCATTAGGTGCTGTCGTTTCCCCCTAACAGCAAACCTATGCACAGGAGAATGAAACGCCGCCCGATCCCACGCCAGCTCCATGACCCTTGCTGTATTTGAGCCCATCGTTGCAGCCACTGTGTCAATCTGTCTCGTTGAAGTCCTTCCCCTCTTCCGTGGACCCTCCACCTTACCAAGCATAACACATTTCTCCAGGGAATGGTCCCTTTAGACAACATGACCAAAGAAGGTGAGATGAAGTCTGGCCATTCTCACTTCCAAGGAGCATGTTGGCCGCACTTCCTCCAGAACAGATCGGTTAGTTCTTTTACCAGTCCATGGTACTTTCCGCATTCTTCACCAGAGCCACAACTCAAAAGCATCAAATCTTCTTCAGTCTTCCTTACTCATTGTCCAGCTCTCACATGCATATGAGGTGACTGGAAATATCATGGCTTGTGTCAAGCACAGCTTAGTCTTCAAGGAGACATCTTTGCTCCTCAGCACTTGGAAGAGTTCCTTTGTAGCTGACTTAACCAGTGCTATACATTGTCTGATGTCCTGACTGCTGCTTCCATTGGTGTGGATTGTAGAACCAAGCAATGTGAAGTCTTTGACAACCTCAATCTTTTCTCCATTTATCGTGATGCTGCTTATAGGGCCAGTTGTGAGAATTTTTATTTTCTTTATATTGAGACGTAATCTATACTGCAGACTGTATTCTTAAATCTTCATCAGTAAGTGCCTCAAGTCATCCTCACTTTCAGCAAGCAAAGTTGTGTCGTCAGCATATCGCAGGTTGTTAATGATCCAATCTTGATGCCACATTTTTCTTCATATAGTCCAGCTTCTTGGATTATTTGCTCAGCATATAGATTGAATAAGTATTGGGAAAGGATACAACCTTGACACACTCCCTTCCTGATTTTAAACCATGCAGTCTCCCCTGGTTTGGTTCAAACAACAGCCTCCTGGCCAAGGTACAGGTTCCTCATGAGTACAATCAAGTGTTCGGGAATTTCCATTCTTCTCAAAGTTATCCACAATTTGTCATTATGCACACAATCAAATGCCTTTCCATAGTCAATAAGACACAAGTAAACATCTTTCTGGCATTCTTTGCTTTGAGCCAAGATCCATCTGACAGCAGCTATGATATCCCTTGTTCCACGTCCTCTTCTGAATCCAGCTTGCATCTGTGCAAGTTCTCTGTCAACATATTGCTGCAACCATTTTTTAATTACCTTCAGTAAGATCTTACTTGTGTGCAATATTAATGGTATTGTTCGATAATTTCCACATCCTGTGGGACCACCTTTCTTTGGAATGGGTACAAATATGGATCTCTTCCAGTCAGTTGGCCAGGTAGCTGTCTTCCAAATCTCTTGGCATAACCAAGTGAGTGCCTCCAATGGGGCATCTGTTGAAATATCTCAATGGATATTCCGTCAATTCCTGGAGCCTTATTCTTTGCCAATTCCTTCATTGCAGTTTCGACATCCTCTTTCAGTACCATTGGTTCTAGATCATATGCCACCTCCTGAAATGGATGAAGAAGATCTACAGTTCTTTTTGGTACAGTGACTCTGTGTATTCCTTCCATCTTCTTTTGATGTTTCCTGTATCATTCGATATTTTGCCCATAGAATCTTTCAATATTGCAACTTGAGGCTTAAATTTTTTTCCTCAATTCTTTCAGCTTAAGAAATGCTGAGCATGTTCTTCCCTTCTGGTTTTCTAACTCCAGGTCTTTGACATTTCATTATAATAATTGGCTTTGTCTTCTCGACTGCTCTTTGAAATCTTCAATTCAGCTCCTTGATCTCGTCATTTCTTCCATTTGCTTTAGCTACTCTCTGCTCAGGGGCAAGTTTCAGAGTCTCTTCTGTCATCCATTTTGGTCTTCTCTTCTTTTCCTGTCTTTTTAATGACAGCTTGCTTTCTTCATGGATGATGCTCTTGATGTCATCCCACAATTCTTCTGGTTTTTGGTCACTGGTGTTCAACACATCAAATCTATTCTTTAGATAGTCTCTAAGTTCAGGAGGGATATAGTCAAGGTCATATTTTGGCTCTCATGGACTTCTTTTAATTGTCTTTAACTTCAAGTTGAACTTACATATGAGCAGGTGATGGTCTGTTCCACAATCAGCTCCTGGTCTGGTTTTGGCTGAAGATATGGTGCTTTTCTATCGCCTCTTACCACAGATGTAGTCAATCTGATTCCTGTGTGTTCCATCGGGTAAAGTTCACACGTACAGCTGCTGTTTTGTTGTTGAAAATAGGTATTTGCAATGAATAAGTCATTGGTCTTGCAAAATTCTACCATGCAAGTTCCAGCATTATTTCTGTCACCGAGGCCAAATTTTCCAACTACCGGTGATTCTTCTTTGTTTTCAACTTTTGCAGTCCAGTCACCAGTGATAATTAACCCATCCTGATTGCATGTTTGGTCAATTTCAGACTGCAGAAGTTGGTAAAAATCTTCAATTTCTTCATCTTTTGCTTTGGTAGTTGGTGCATAAATTTGAATAACAGTCATATTAACTGGTCTTCCTTATAGGCGTATGAAGATTATCCTATAACTGACAGCATTGTACTTCAGGACAGATCTTGAAACATCCTTTGTGATGATGAACGCTATGCCATTCCTCTTCAAATTGTCATTCCCAGCATAGTAGATCATATGGTTGTCCGATTCAAAATGGCCAAAAACAGACTATTTCAGCTCACTAATATCTAGGATATCAATCTTTATGCATTGCATTTCATTTTTGACAACTTCCAATTTTCCTAGATTCATACTTCGTACATTCCATGTTCCAATTATTAATGGATGTTTGCAGCTGTTTCTCCTCAATTTTCATGTCACATCAGCAAATGGAGGTCTCAAAAGCTTTACCTTACCCATATAAGTAAGGTTGGTTTTATCCATATCAGTAAGGCTGGTGAAACTACACACTATTAAAGACAAAGAGATTCTAAAAGCAGTCATATAGAATACAAATTACCTACAAAGCAGTTGTGATTAAAAGTGACAGCTGAATTCTCAGAAATAACAACAAAAACCAGACAACACTGAAATAATGACAAAGTGTTAAGAGAAAATAATTTTCAGCTTAGTAATTGTATACTCACTGAAACTATTTTTCAAAAACAAAGCAAAATAACTGCATTTAATAGATTTTTTAAAACTTTATTACTAAGTTAGCATCTAAAGTATATACTTTAGAAAGAAGATAAATGGTCATCAAAAGCAACATACATAACTCACAAAAAATTAATATCCAGAACATATAAAAAGCTCTCATGAATCAACACAAAAAAAATGACAAACAACCACAACAGAAAAATAGACAAATACCAAAATAATGCATTTTATAGAAGAGGAAAGACAGCTTATGTTGTTGTTAAATGCTGTCAGGTTGGTTCTGACTCACAGTGATCCTGTGTACAACAGAATGAAACACTGCCCAGTCCTGTGCCATCCTCACACAGTTGCCGTGTTTGACCTCACAACTGTAGCCACTTTGTCCACCCATCTCATTTAAGGTCTTCCTCTTTTTCACTGACTCTCTACTTTAGAAAGCATGAGGTTCTTCTCCAGGAACTGATCCCTCTTGATGGCAGGTGCAAAATCCATGAGACGAAGTCTGGCCATCTTCACTTCTAAGGATATACTTAGAAGTGTTGTCTAAGGAGTGTTTGTTCTCACTGTACTTCTTCCAAGACAGATTTGTTCCTTCTTCTGGTGGTCTGTGATATATTCCATATTCTTTACCAACACCATAATTCAAATGGCCCATAAACATATGGAAAAATACTCAACCTTTTTGGTAATTGCTGTTGTTGTCAGCTGCCATGGGGTAAGCCCCAAACTCATGACAGGAAATACAAATTAAAAGTAAAATAAATATCCAAGTGTTGGCGAGGTTATGGAGCAATGAGAACTGTCATAGCCTGCTGGTGAGAGCATAACTCAGCACTGCTATTTGGGAAAACCAACATACCCCATTACCCCATAATTCCATACCTAGGAATACATCCTAGAGAGAATTTTACACATATATATTAAAAGACATGTACACGAATGCATTCTTTTATTCACTGGGGTCAAAATTAGGAATTAACTCTTAAATGTTCAGTTAACTATCACAGAACAAACTCTCATCATCCAGAAATTACATTTATGGCGCACAAAAATATTGTTTCCATAGACTTGTTACTCATTGTTAATAAAAGTCAGTATTATCCTTTTTGTAAAAGTAGAGATAAACTATCCATACTTGAAAATTCAGTTTTACATGCAGCATGAATGACTTTTTTTCAAACTGATAGGCATATGTACTTTAATCACCAAAGACTACATCAAACATTTATGAAAGAAAATCCTTTTTGAAGATTATTTCAAGTTAATTAGGATTAAATGTACATAGAATTTTTATCCTTATCATCCTTGAGTGAAAAAAAAATTTGTTTTATTATCTTACTTAATCCTAAAATGTACAAAAGGAAAGAATAACAGTATACAGAAGCCTGATATCCTGTGGTCTTTCTTAATAACTACCCATTTTCAAGAGACTCTAATCTACTCAACAGAAACCATTTCACCAATGCCTTTAATCAGATTCTGAGAAAGCATATTCAAGAACAAACAATATGCCACTAAAACCAAAACAATGGAGGTATTAGCAGCCTTACAAAAAGTTAGCCTCTACTTGATGAGTCATTTCTAAAGTGAGCAAAGTATAAGACTTTGAAGTGCTTTCTATTCAAACTGGAAAATATATAAAGGTAGGACTCATTTTCAAAGTCTGTTGACTGAGAAATTTTTCTTCATTTCATACATCTTTCTTTGACTCTATGCAAACACCAAACTAAGACTGGCTAAAATGAGTCTTTCATCCTACATATTAATACTAACCTTTTCTGTGTTTTCTCAAGGTATTTTACTTTCAGCAAAGTCTGTAAGAAATTTAGAAGACGACATGGTATTTAATACATTTAGGCTGGGGAAAGCCTTCCAGAAGGAAGATAATGCAGAAAAATCAGTTGTTGCTCCTTCCCTGGAACAATATAAAAGTGATGAGAACAGTTTCATGAATGAAGAGGAAAACAAAAATTTCAAGGTAAGTGGCAATGTGACTTGTTCTTTATTTCAATGGAAAATTAAATAATATTTACAAATCTTTTTGAAAAGTAAAATGGCTAATTTTATTTTCATAAACAGCAGGATGTGCAAACAGTCATGCAATGTGCATTAGATCAACTGATGACATTTAATACACACCAGGTGGTTTTTCCACCTTGGAGGATAACTCTTATCCAAAAGTGCTTTTTTTCCTCTAATAACCTTGTACTAAGGTATTTTCTCTGATAGTGTAGTGCCTAAGGCACTTGACTGCTAACCAGAAGGCTGGAGGTTCAAACCCGCCAGCCACTCCTCGGAAGGAAGGTTGGGCAATCTACTTCCGTATTGACACTGCCTCGGAAGCCCAAGGAGGGGTCCCTATGAGTCGGGTCTGACTCGATGGCACATAACAAGGTATTTTTGGGAGCTCTGGTGGTGTAGTGCATAAGGCATTTGACTGCTAACCAGGAGGCTGGCGGTTCAAACCCACCAGCCACTCCTTATAAGGAAGATTGGGCAATCTACTTCCATAGAGCCTAGGAAACCCAAGGAGGGGTTGCTTTGAGTCAGGATGACTCAGTGGCAGTGTTTTTGTTTTTAAGAGTCAAAAACAGTGCAGAGCATCTCTGAATTGATACAATAAGAATATTATACAACTGCATTATAGTTCCATTCCCAATGAGACAGCTAAAACACAAATCAACCTTTTCTTTACAGAATGCAGGCTCCAAACATAATTTCTTAAATCATGGTCTGCCACTGAATCTGGCTATAAAACCTTATCTTGCCCTAAAAGGATCGGTAGCTTTTCCAGCTGAGAGTGGAGTTCAGAATACTGAATCAACACAGGAAAAGAGAGAAATTGGGGATGAAGAAAACTCAGCTAAATTTCCTATAGGAAGGAGAGATTTTGACAGTGAGTAGTCTTTTAAAATTCAATTCTTACATTTTAATTCTATAAAATAAAACTCTGGGTGGAACTGAATTAGGATACAATCATAACAAAATCAAGCCAGACCATGGTTCAATTACAGTCAATATAAAATGAACCTTCAGAAAAATGTGAGATAAAAATCATTTACTTAGTTTTTTTTGTAATTGTGATTTAGTCACAATTAACTCTACGAAGTCCATCCTTTTATTTCTAATAAATTTTGTGTGTTAATTACCGGTCGTTTAAACTTTTTGTGTTCCTTCAGTGCTCAGGTGTATGCTGGGAAGAGTCTACCGACCTTGTTGGCAAGTCTAATACTTGTTGGTCCACATCATCTTTACAGAAGACAAAATCACTGAATTGCCAGTTAAGGAAAAAGCCTGTTATGTTACTGTGACATTATTATGTGACTATGTATTATTTTACATGTCTGTTTTAAAATAAATTATTATGTAATACCAGTAATGTAAATGAAATGCTTTATCCGTGCATTAAACTTTGAAAATTCTGCATGATTACGATTTACTAGTATTTGTGAACAATGTTTAACATACTAACCCTAAATACACTCCATATTAAAATGTAAAGCTCTGGGATAAGTTACACCTTGATCTTTTAAAAATCAAGTGCATGCCTTTGGTGAATGGTTTTATATACACATCAATCTAATGCACATAAAAGACAAATTCACAGCCTGAAAAACTGAGTTAACTTTGTCTGCCCAGTAAGCAATTTGTCCTTGGTGGTACACTTGTTGCCTTTTGCTATTCTAGCTACTTTGACATCCAATTTATTCTGTGAGTCCTTTGGTATCTTAGGTATTTTAGTATTTTTCTGTTGAAGCAATTCATTTCTATTATCATAGAGAATATTTTCACCATCCAAATCCACCTGTTTCCTTTTTGAGTTATTTCCTGTCTGACTATTTGATTTTTTTGATATTTTTTTATCTTCATTTCTGTCCAGATGAACATTTCCAGAACTTGTTCCAATTTTTGGTCTTCCAACAGATGAATTCACACCTTCTGTTATGCAAGATGAAAAGGAGAGAGGATTATATAACATTTAATATTATTGCTCATAAAAATTTTATAATAAGTTTTTAAAACACCTAAAGAATAGTCAGATTTTATGATTTACAATAAAAAATGCTATAAATTATATGACTAACAAATAGAGCTACATTACTATCACATTGCTTTTTATTTTACCATACCATGTCTCACTCCTACCAAAAAAAAATGTTTTGTTTGAATGCATGACATTTAATCCTTAAATAACAGCTAAAAATTAGTTCTTAAATACATTTAGTTAAATCAATCTATGTCCTACCCCTTTCATAAATTCTGTGCTTAGAATTTTTTTTAAATAAACTCAAATCTTTAAAAATATAAAGTTTATATTTCATAGTACTTTGCTATCAAAATCTAGTTTTACTTAAGTTAAAACAAATTAGCAGACTACAATTAAATTGTTATTTAATTGTTAAATAAGGTCAATTACCAGAAGGGCTGTCTTCCTCATGAAGAACACACAAAGGCTCTGATGGTGAATTAACGTTATGCCATTTCTCCTTGCTTATTACGGACTCATCTTTGTAAGTACAAGCAAACTGGGATCTAATTAAGGTTTGCTTTACCTGGCAAGAAAAGGAAGGGAAATATCCAATTAATTCTTTATCTTGATCTCTTTTTCATATAGATAGTCACATACTCTACAGTAATCAAAATGTAAGAATTTCCCTTAAAAAGTCTGCTATAAATTGGGAATTTTTAATCCTTGATGTTTCATAGCTTGTGAACTCATTCACTGCTACAGTTAACATGTTAGTTCTTTTTAGTAATATCTATTTTATGTATATTTTTGACACTTTTTATGACAGTTATTAAAAACTTAATTTTGGGCTCCTCAGAGGCCTGTCTTGGCTGCTTTGGAAGGTGAGTTTTATTATAAGTGAACTTACGTATGCTATATATAAAACCAAAAAAAAAACCCAAAATCCACTGCCACCGAGTCTATTATAACTCATAGTGAACCTATAGGACAGGGCAGAACCATAGGGTTTCAAAGGCTGTAAATCTTTATGAAAATAGATTGCTTCATCTTTAACCTGCAGAGTGGCTGGCGGGTTCGAACCACTGACCTTTTGGTTAGCAGCCCAATGCCTTAACACTGTGACACCAAAACTCCTACGATATACAAAAATATAAGTTGTTCCTCCTAAGAATTACAAAGAGCACAACTCTTGGGGAAAAAAAAGTAGCCTATGCAATTCAAAAAATTAGACAAATTGGGGAAGGCAGAAACATTAAGACAAAAAGGAAAAGAAATGAGCAGGCATAAGAAACAAAAATAGAAAACAAAGTAATAAACTAAGAGATGATACAAAATGGTGAGTCTGTAGTGTTGTTTGCCATCAAGTCAGTTCCAACACCTAGCTACCCCATGTGACAAAGAATTGCCCCATAGGGTTTCCTAGGCTTTAATCTCTACAGAACACCAAGTCTTTCACCTAAAGAGCCACTGGTGTGTTCAAACCAATGACCTTTTGGTTAGTATCTGAGCACTTAACCATTTGCATGACAAGAACACTTTCAAAATGGTGACAAACAGGCATTGTTTCTTGGTTAAAAACTTGAAGGTTTAAGAAAATAAAAATGATTCAAATATGCTGTTGTAGAAAGATTCAACCAAGTGATTTAAGGGTCGAAAATTCAAAATATACTCTTGCATATATCTTCAACATCAAATATCCACTGCTTTTGAGTCAATTCTGACTCATAACGACCCTTCAGGACAGAGTAGAACCGCCTCATAGGGTTTCCATGGCTGTAAATCTTTATGGTAGTACACTGCCTCATCTTTCTCCCGCAGAGTGCTTGGTGGGTTCAAACTGCCAACTTTAGGTCAGCAGCTGACTGCTTTAACCATGATACCATCAGAGCTCCTTCTAAATTAAATAGCAGGGCTTAATTTTTAACATAAATAGGAAATAATTAGAAAGCTAAATTTAATTCTTAACCATGGAAAAAGATGCCAAGAAAGTACATTTGGAAATGTAGTCTTCCAAAAAAAGACCAAGTCTACTGGTTTGATAGAGACTGGTGAAACCCCTGAGACTATGGCTCCTAGTCACTCTTCGGGCTAGGAAGTGAACTCATATCCATGACTTCCAGCCAAACAACAGGCAGACCTACAAGGTGAAAAAGCTTACCAGGTAGGTACACTCCTTAGAGCAATCAACCATGGGAGATCAGAAGGGCAGTATTTGTATAAGGAAAAGCTTCAGAGGACAGGAATGCGTAGGAAAGGACATAGGGGAAAAGTAATCACAAGGAGGAAGTGGAAGAGAGCTGTTACATCATGGTGATTGCAATCAATATCATGAAACAAAATGTGCATGAACTGCTGAATGGAAAATGATTTTGCTCTGTAAACTTTCAACCACATCACAATAAAAAAAAGCTAAATAAAAAAGTTGTCAGTGAACTGTTATAGGGATAAGAATTAATTTCAGAACAAAATAACCTACACAGACTAACAAAAATCTCAACAATTACAGCTGATGTGTAGTATCATTTGGTTATACTGGAGAGATTCCTCCAGAAAATTAGAATCACCTCAAATTCTTTTCAGAAGTGGACAAAGTTTAAATATCAAATAATTGATTAAATAAAGAAGACTTCAATAAGTCAAAAATTTAACACTTCAAATATACAGAATTTATTGATACAGTTGATAAAGACTAAAACAGCACTAGTTTATGTCATATATTCAGTAGTGTCCTCAAAGACAGATCACTGCATTAACCTGCCTGGATATTTGCAGAGAAAATGTCAGTGAAGTCCACTGACTACAGTTTAGAAAAAATTAGAACAATACTTAAAAGGGCAAGTTTTCTCAAGATGACAAAAGTAATATCCTTCTAAATAATGGAGTCTGTGAGTCCTTCATTCCCAAGATTAAAAAAAAAAAAAAAAAATTGTTACCTTTTCATGAATGAAGCACTAGACATTTTAAGCTCATTGTTACAATTCAAACACAAAAATACTACAATTAAAATGATAAACATATATGTATGATAAAAAAAATAAACAGAAAATAAAATGTAATAGCCTCTTGATAACAGAAGGAACTCTGGTAGCACAGTGCCTAAAGCACTTGACTGCTAACCAAAAGGCTGGCAGTCCAAACCCACCAGCCACTCCTCAGAAGGAAGGTTGGGCAACCTACTTCTGTAGTGATGCTGCCGAAGGAACCCAAGGAGAGGTCACTATGAGTTGGGACCACCTCCATGGCACATAACAACAAGAACAACTTGATAACGGATAGGGATATGCCCAATGCTGTTGTTAAGTGTTGTTAAGCAGATGTTGACTCACAGTGACCATGTAGTACAGAGCAGAACTGCCCCATGAAGTTTCCTGGGCTGTATTCCTTTCAGAAGCCCATGGAGCACCTAACAGGTTGCAAATGCTAACCTTCTGGTTAGCAGCTGAGCTAACTACTTAGTATCACTGCACCCCAGAGCTCCTTACAACCAATCTGTCCATCAATACTCATGCAATCAACTCCCATTACATAGTTTCCACCATCAGATGCCCTAAACTATAACTGACAGTTTTAAGTAGCCCTTTCTAGACTTTATTAATTCTATAATACAGAAGTAAACAATTGATAAGGCTGTGAAAGTAAGTATTTGTTACTAAAATAAGCTCTATACTATAATACGTCATTACTATAAGAGGTGGCTGGCTATGATCACTCCCTTAGCATCCAGAAAAAGACAGCACCTATACCACCTCTGGCACCCAAAAATTATCATCAGCAGCATCCATAAGTAACAATAATTACATTCAATAGTACCAACAACTAATATTTTCTCAACCTCATGTTTAGTATAAATAAAAATTTCTTCAGAAAGTGTTGTATTTACTAATTTTAATATACAATCTAAGTAAAAAGCTTTGTTTGGGATGTACATACAATTAAAAAGTAAGTCCCATAGCCCTCCTCCCAACTAGATTTCCTGTCTTCAGGCCCTCCTACAGACCTAGTTTCCCAAAGCCAACTGTAGAAAACTAAGAGTTACAAAGCAATGAATTCTTAAAATACTGAGAACAAGATCAGATGTAAAAGAAAAACAGTTAACCATTTTGTTTACCATTTTAAAAGCACATCAAGGAGTTCTGGCAAGATGGGAGACTAGAAGAAAGACTGCCCAGACCCTCTTCAACAAAGAAAAGGGGAACCAATTAACACAGACACAGAAGATAATCCTGGACCCCTGAGCCTTGAAGGGAAGGATATAGAAGTGGACTAAACCCCAACTAGCAGAAGAA